GCTTAAAAGCCTGAATTTTGCCTGAAACTCTCAGACTGAAGAAGTCTCTTGGAGGAGAGACGAAGCGTTTCATTAGAGAAGAACCCRTCCAGAAGACCTATGCAATTTTTTTCTTTTTGATTTTTTACCTGGATTACTGAGATGCATCAGGTCATTCTGTGAGTTTAACCAACCATAACGCTTACGATTTGTCCCTTGCACCTGTTTCTCCTTCATGTGAAGTACTGAGCATTTGTGATTGCTCTGTTCCCACATTTGATCATAAAATAATAAACGGGTGTAGCTGTTTATCACTCCATCCTATATATTTTGGCTAAACTGTCAAGGAAATCCCCATGATAGGGACAGCAACCTCACTGGCATTTAAACTGATCTGGTATTTAGCCAAACTAACATTGGGATCAAATTTATTTCTTATTTGATTGTTGAACTCCATTTTTTTAAAATCTCTTGACAGATTAAGAAGTCGTTTTCACCYAGACTGAGAGGGACAGAGAAGAACAGGCGGGGAAAGGGACTGGCTTTACAAGGCCAGCCATGCGTGCAGCCCGGGCCATGTTGTGGCTCGCAGACAATAGGTGCAGATGGCCTGCCCGCTGCAGATGTGGCCAGGCCTGTAACGGACGCCTGCGAGGGAGAACACCCACCCACGGCGTTTGCAACCAGCCGCCTAGTGAGGCCGTGGATATCCTTTAAGTTCAAAATGCACTTACGATGCATCTCGTGTGCTGCTCTTTCTTTTAAAACGTCACTTGAATCCTTTTGAACGCCATCCTCTACTGCTACGCAAAACGAATAAGGCAGCTTGCGTGAGACGTGGACAAGAGAGTTCGAGCTGGGTTGGAGGAGCTGACAGCATTTCTCCAGGAAAAGTCTCAAATGAGTGCGCGTGCCACACACTGATAGCAACCGGGTGGAAAGCTGACCCGCTGTAGGTTGGTGTAGAATGTGACCCCAACTGGAGTAATCTGAAAAGCCTGAGGATTACACCAACAGCTCGGCTGTCACGGAGGAGGCAAAGTCACACAGTGCTGCAGAAGTGTGTCAGTCCAAACATCCTGTCCATTTATGATGCAGTACTGTGGAAGTGTGTTGAAGTGAACAATGCTGTTTTTGCTCGTCTCTGAGTGTGTGTATGAGCGTGGGTTGACTTTTATCAAAAATATGTCATGAACTACTGGAAAGATTTCAATCAAACTTTCAGGAAGAGATCAACGGCTACAACTCAGTCAACTTTATATGTAATGACCTAAAATTGGGTGTGGAAGTAGCTGAGACTGATCCCCAGTAGCTCTGAACACTAATATATTGCACTAGATCTTAGTTCAGGTTTTTACTATTAACTATTTTGAGGCATCTTTGTCTGTTAGCACARTATTTCCCAGAACATAGGAACAATTTTAATAGAATGTTCTGAAAATAAATATTGGACATGTCTACAACTGATAAATGTCACTCAAAGGTGGTGCTACAGTCAGCTAAAAGTAGAAGATGCAAAAGTTGCTGAAATTTAGTTCTAGAGATTTTGTGGTCCAATTTAGTTTTGTTGCAGCTGAGATATTGTATTTATTTTACCATTGTTTAACCAGACAAATCTCACTGAGACCACAGATCTGCTTTTAAATGGAGGCCTATGCCCGAAGGCTACCTACTGTACATACACTATATAGCCAAAAGTATTTGCTCACCTGCCTTGACTAACATATAATTAACATTAAGTGACATCCCATTCCTAATCTATAGGGTTCAATATGACGTTGGTCCATCCTTTGCAGCTGGTACAGCTTCGATCTGGGATCGTTAGCTCTTTTGATCATTCTTCCAGAAGCACATTTGGAAGGTCACACACTGATGTTGGACAGAAGGYCWGGCTCTGTCTCTGCTCGAATTCATCCTAAATATGTGCTATCAGGTTAAGGTCAGTACTCTGTGCAGGCTAGTCAAGTTCATCCTCACCAGACTCTGTCATCCATGTCTTTAAGGCCCTTGATTGTGCACTGGTGCACAGTCATTTGACTGGTGCACAGTCATTTGGATGGGTGAGCAAATACTTTTGGCAATGTAGTGTATGTTTGTGCTGTGGGGAAACCAGAGTGCCCATAGAAAACCCATGCAACTATGAGGAGAACATGCAATCCCCACACAGACAGACCCTAGGTCTAAACTGGGGGTCGAACCCAGGACCTTCTTGCTGTGAGGCGTCAGTGCTAACCATTGAGCCATTGTGCTGCAGACATAATCACAACACATAACATTTTTGCAGTGCAGTAAAACTGTGCATGTGCACAGTTTTGACTGTCAGTTTTCAAAGGCAGATTATCTTTCAGCTGATCATTTTTTCAGCTAATTTCCCTTTGAAAATCACGTTTTTGATGCTAAAAATATGTGCTAAATTGTGATAGTAGCTAAAGAAATGTAAGTCATGCCTTGAAAATTTGAAAAATAATCTACCAAAATTTAAAGAAAATCCTTAAAAAAAAACAAAGACCACTAAAAGACATGGGTGCCTGGTTCTTACAAACCATGATTCTTTATATTCATTCATTCATTGTGTTCAAATCTACCTTTGCCCATCCAGGTGGTCTGGAGATTCTGCCGTTGCTTTTACACAGTTCTGCACTTTGCCCCGAGGTCAGATCTCAACCCTGCAGCAGGTCATGTGTCACCTCCCATTTAACCAGCGAAGACGTGCTACAGACTAAAGAGCAAATAAAATCCCCAATAATTGTTTAGATCTGATTAAAACCAACATATGTATATGTTYGTCAAAATGAGACATGTTTCTTCGTTCTCCTGTCCATATGTCTTCTCAGAAGTGTATTTGTGTTTCAGGGGTGGGGTGGGGGTTCGTATAGGTACAAATCCTGACACCCCCACCCCCAACATGAATCAGCACCTGTTGGAGACACCAAATCCCCTCTTTTGTCTCTGCAGCCCACTTCTCAGTGCATAACCATGACAACGTGCATTCATATCATTTGTTGAAGCCTGATTATGCAGCTTCACACGGTCAATTATCACCAGACCCAGTGAATCTATTGTTTTTATGGGGGGGGGGGGGTTACTGCATATTAAGAGACTTTCTAAGTAGGTTAGCTTTATTTCATATGAAAGGTGTAATTTGTAAAAAAAAAAAGGAAAAAGAATGAAATTACAAATGAGCAACAGAGCTATAATGGAAAATATTTCAGCTTTTATTACTTCAAGTAGAAGACAGTTTTAAAGGACTGACGATGAAGCGCGATGTCTGTGATGGAAAGCACTAAAGAAAAGAAAGCTCAGGTGATACAAATAAGAGCACACGTACAACAGTCATAAAATCTGCAAACACACAAATGCTGCCCACGTTCAGTAATAATGGAGCTCAGGTAAAGTGGGTAAAACATTATGGACACGTAAAATGTTAAAATATAATATTAGATTGTACTGTCACATCTCTAACATTTGGTTTAACAAAGTCACAAGGAAAAAAAAATTATTTACACAAAGTTTGCTCCCTTTGGGTTCAAACAAATCATTCACATTGTTGACTGGGATGCAACTATTTCATCCTTTATATAAAACTCCACCAACAAAAAAAAAAAATAAAGCTTTCTACAGCCTGTTACGTTCTCTACTTTTTAAACAGAACAGTTTAAAACATTCACCATATTCAACTTTCTGTGATTCAGACTGAGCACATTCAGTTACCATCAAAAATAAAAAAAAGGCGATTATGAAAAAGTCAACCTTTTTCCCCCACTCATATAAACAATATGCAGACAAATCATCAGCTCTTCCTGTTAGTCACAGTCAATTCCTTGTCACGACAATAAAGCAGCAAACATGGGAACACCACATATACGTGTAAATACACTTGTTAATCACAGCATGTTTAGTGTAAAACTTAGTATGTAAAGAATATCAAATCATTTATGGAACTATCAAACACTATATTGTCATATATATACTATATATATATATAAACCAACATATATTATCACAAGTATAAATGTGATTGTGTTTAAATTCAAATCATATTTTTAAAAAGCTCATCATATAATCTATATTTTCCACTCACTCAACTACTGTTAAACMTGATTTAACAAAAGTCCTAGATCTTATACATTCAATAATGTGTGCAATAATATTAATATTAAAATAATAAGCACAATTATGCATGGTCCAATCTGATGCATCTTTGTTTGAACTGCTGAACCCATTAAAAATATGGGTAAGAACCACAGAAATGCAGTTTTGCATTTATTTGTTTTGTATCTGAGTGAGCTCCCATTTGTTAATCCCAAATTATCAGAACAAAACTGTCCATAACACCACCATCTTTTAGGAACATGGAATAATAGTTTAAATAAGGGTTAATTTTGTAGGAAGTGTATAAATGCTGTCTTAGCAGACTTTCAGGCAGATTCTCTTATCTCGCTTCAGCCAAACTAAAAAAGGCTTTTTTTTTTCCAAATCACAAAACGCTCTTTGCATCAAAAGAAAATGCACTCAAGCTTCTGTTTTATCCTTCTCCTCCTTCTTTTTCTTGCTCTTTTTTAAGAACGAAGGTGTGCGGAACTTGTTTTTCTTTTTCTTGGGGGACTTGGTTTGGCTCTCCGGGGTCTGAGGCTCCCCCGTCTTCTCCTTTGTTGTTATGGAGATCTCTGTTTCTGAAGTGCTCACGCTCAGCTTGGATACTTCCATGCTCAGATCCTCCTCCAGCTCTGCCAAGTGGTCTTTCCCATTGGGTATCGTGTCTGTCGGTAGATGAAGCAAATATTTTAAAAAAAGGAAAGCGGCCAGTTGAGAAGATGAAAAGTTTAATCAGTCTGTTTTGAACAATTATACTCAATAACAGGACTAACATTCCTAAAAAGAAATGGCTGAACTTAATTAGCTGTGGTGGTCATCTTTAACTGGACTGACTCCAAATGGAAACCAACTGTAGACGTAAAGCCACCAAATTTTATCGAAAAGTTTCATTAAAGTCTGTCCAGTGGTTGAAGAGACATTTTCACTAGTAGACAAATGAGGTTAGAGCCAAAGTAAATACCAGGGTTTAAAGCAAAAGTGTCACACAATGTGTCAAGCTCAAATTATTTGTTAAGTATAATGCTCAGCTACTACCACACCAAAACTTTAGCTCAATATCTGTCAATTTTTATGCTTTATAGATGTTTTTGTGTTTTCAATGACCAGTTGTCTGTGGCAGCCATCTTGAATTGGACTGTGTCCAAAAGTTAAACATTTGTAGATGTATATCCAATGATTAAATTTTGAGAGTTGCATTAAAATCTTTCAAGTGGTTGATGAGATATTTTACTAACAGACAATCAGGGTCAGGGCCAAAAGTTAATGCCACAGTTTAAAGTTAAGGAGTCACACAATATGTTTAGCGTGACCTATGTGTTGGGGATAATGCTCAGCTACTACCACACCAAATTTGAGCTTAATATCTGCAAAGTTGGCTAAATTATAGCTACTTTTGTGTTTTCAAAGACAAGTTGTCTGTGGCAGCCATCTTGAATTGAATTGAGTTCAAAGTTATTCACTTGTTAATGCATGTCTAATAACTACATTTTGAGAGTTGCGGTAAAATATTCCTAGTGGTTGATGAAATATTTTGCTAACAGACAAACTTAATTAAGGCTAACAGTTTATGCCAAGATTTTAAGCACAGATGATGCACAATCAGGTAGTACTGAATTGGGGTGTCTCGAAAAGTGCGTGATTTGTAGAAGTACGCTCAGTTACTTTCAGAAAGTTTCTTCAAAACCTGTTCAGTGATTGATAATATATTTTGCTAACAGTACACAGACACAGGCAAAACCATTATTGCTCTGCCTTCACCTTCAGCAGTTGGTGATAATTACCTTGTTTAGTGGGTGTCATGAGAGGGGACAGGGAGAGGGAGATAGTGGAGCCATCAAACGTGGTCATCTCATCAGCATCAGTAGCATCATCATCCTCTGTAAAGGATTTGACATTCGTATCATAAAGTTGACATAAATTTCTTCACTCYGTCAAACAGTTACTCATACATTTCATTCTATTTCATAGCCGTTCTCTCAGCCATGCTGTTAGCGTGGCAAATACAAACCAGAACAGGCTGATTTTAAAGGCACAGTGTGTAGGATTTTGTCAATTCTTTTAGCCGAAATTGAGATAATCACTAATGACAATAATAAAAAACATGTCTAATCATTGCATACAAAGACCTTGTTTTATTATTTTTACCTTTATAAAAAGCTGTTTATATCTCCATGGTCGCGGGTCGCCAGTAGAGGCAGCCGCCATCTTGCACTGCCATCTTGTCTACGAAGGCTCATGAAGGACAAACTGCGGTGGCGGCGTCAAAAACGGTTTTAGTTGTAATACTATAAATGTAATATTTGTTGTCTGTCATTAGCTACGTTTACATGGACAAAAGTAAATTAAACGGATTAAACGGCCGTTCGGAATAAAAATGCGTCATGCAAACAGCCCGTTCCGATTATTCTGATCCGATTGAGCTCGATCCAAATGAATTTTTAATCCAAGTGAAAAGGGTGGGTTTTGCCGATTGATAATAGGAATGAGGTTCATGTAAACACTTAATTGGATCATCTTATTCTGATTGTAGAAAACTGACCTGTACGCATGTCTGCTGACTTTCATCCACCCGGTGGGACAGCAGCGCTCCAGCTGCGCAGCACCGTGCAGAACTTTTCCTCCACGCTCTCTTAACAGATGAAAAAGGAGGCAAACAGCAGACGTTGCTTCATCTGCAGGCTGCAGCTCAACCGAGGAGAAACGACATCTCTACCATTATTAAAAGCTGACACGGGTCCGTCC